CGCATTTGTAGGTAAGTTCGTCACAATCCTGTCATTCGCCTTGTCAAGGGCGTCATCGCTGCCCTTCTATCGCACGTTGCTTGCCCGGGTTCTCTTGCTTTTAATCAAAGACTGATCAAATCCTCTACGTTATCTTACAGGACGCTCATCGTCAAGTTAAAGATTGACTTCGTATCCCTTCGTTTGCTGATGGCTCCGCCTTCTCAGGATTGCCACCACTCTACACCCATCCATCAAGCCCACATAGAGATCTAGACTGGACAAGAGATTCATGGAAACGCCTTCATCGAAGGTTTGCCATGATTCATGGTCCACCCTGCCCACACTACGCCTATCCTTATCGCTACTCCAATTTAAAGCCCACAGGGGCAAGTCGGCGAAGAGGCGCGCCCGTGTCCCCGATAAGAGGAAGGCGTTCTTGTCTTTATTTCACTCTTCCATATAGACGCTATTTACCTTTATGGCTCCACTTAGAACTGCCAGTCATCTCGGAGCCCTTTTATTATCGTGCGGCTATACTATAACACACCTATCTATATGCCACCAAACTTCTTGGACAACAGCCAACTCAATACCTACGACTCTGCCTGCCATTATGATTGAATAGAGTGTTTTTATATTTTGTTCGCCCACGAATTAAGGATCGAGCGAGAACCCGAGATTATCATCCACCTCAGTCTTCTGCATACGAAGGAAATGCTGGTTGGATTTGGTCTCGCATTGTGCACCGCCACCGGGCGCTTAAGGTTAGTAGGCATGTACCGCGGCAGCGCTTAAAAGAGTGCTCTAGGTCGGTGTCACTTTCGTCCAGGGCATTCTCAAGGCCAGGCAGAGATGTCTGCAGTGTTATCCATTCCTCAATTTTTTTTGGTGGCGATGAAGACTTGTTCTCTTGAAAACCCTACCATTTGATGATCAATGCCACGTAGAAGGAAAAGACAAAACAGTTCGAAGTTTAGATAATGTATAAAGAAGCTAGATGCTTAAAGCATTCTAATAGTCAAGCAGGTTAGAATTCAGGACTCTCGCTGTGCACCACATTGACAAGTTTCGGTACGGTAGATCTGATTCAGGCAGAGCAGCTAGGGTCAGGGTACCTATAATACACAGTTATAGAAGAAGGGCAACGCTTAGACCTCATTAATCATCGCTCATCCGCCATGGCTCCGATTTCATCCCAATGTTCCAGGACGTTGACATTACCTGAACCACAGAGATACGTTTTGATATTTCCACTGTTGTCCGTCCATTTGATTTGCAATCCCGAAATTGCGTCTAGAGCTGCAAAATTCAGGAGCTTCAGGCGATCTGCAGCTTCTGTGAGGTCAAAAATCTCGATAGGACATCCCATGCTGTGCCTCCACCGGAAGAAGCGCACACACATGTCGCGCCATTGCTGCGATTCTTGCCGAGCTAGGCTGGTTAAAACGACACGAGAGAGGTCAGGGAATGGGACGTGGCTAGCTGACATATCCGGGTTTTCTGGTGTAAGGCCTTCAAAGGAGGGGTACGGAACTTCCAGGACCGTGACCTTGGTAAGTCGGAGGAGGAACGAGGCGAGGTGCTGATTGGCTGGATTTACTTCGCTGTAAAAAGATAGAGAAGTGATGTCGCTGAACTTGCATCTTGAAAATGCCTCAAGGGCAGCGATGATGGAGGGCACGCCGTTAATATTGATGAAAAGTGTGCGCGAATCACTGGACGATGCAGATATATAGAGATTACTCTCGAAGCTCGAGAGTTCCAAGGGGCCAACATGGGTGGTGGTGTTGATCCATGATTCTAAAAATCTAGACAAAACACGGTTAATAAATGTAAGCTGCTCAGACGTGGGAGAGGGTCCTTCAGGCATGACAGATATCTGCATCTGCAGGCAACAGCCCGGTGCGGGCATAATGTGATCAAAGAAAGTGCAAATCTGCACTAGGCCGCGGGAAAAGACGTGTATCTCTCGAAGGGATGGCAGGCGTGCCACAGATAGTCCGGATGTCATCTCTATTTCTGGGGGAAAGAGAATGGCGTCGATCATTTGAAGGGATTCGAGGAGGTGCATGGTGCTCAGTGCATCCAGCCAGGATGAAAGTGGATGCTCACAGTACAGCACCTTTAAGTGGCGAAGCTGTGAAAGCCTAAGTGCAGAAAGATCGATCATGAAATCAGGGTGTGCAAGGGAAAATCTCTGTATTTGAGGAGCAACGCCCCCGAAGTGGAGCTGCATAGACGGGGCCATGGTATCTCTTCGACCTATGCAGAAGCCGCTGAGGCTGAACGACCTGAGAACGGGCGATGGTGTAAAGCAAGGGCTCCAGTTTTCTTTGAGGGCTGAGCGGTATTCAGACGAAAGTCTGACATTGAAGTGTTGAACCCGCTGCCAGTCTTCGAATGTGAGTTTGATCAGAAATTCGAGTGAGGAGCCCTTATAGATCTCCCCTTCACGGAAAGGAACGAGTCCTTCGTTCGCTTGATGATTTCTTCTCTGCCTTCATGGGTGATGCTGCCGAGATACTCGAGATCCACTAATCGTCCCCATAGATTGGCGTTTCGAGGACCAAGGACCTCCACGGACGACAGACACGAGAAGTCGCAAAAGTAGTCGTTATTGCACGAGGTCGCCACTTGGACAAGGGTATCTTGATGTCTTCCTGAATATCGTTCGCCATGTCAGCGTTGAGCGCGAATATTGCCCAAAGAATGTCGTAGTTCAGTTTATGAATCAAGCAAATTTCGTTTCTGCCGTCGTTGGATTCAATTTGCTGGTGCAGGGCTCGACTATGATCATCTAGGAACATTTGATCACCAAGAGGGATGCGTTGGTTGGTTAGTAGCAGTTATGTCCTCAAGGAAGGAAGGAAGAAAGGAAGTGTATCAAGGATTTGTTGGTTGCACCAAACAAACGACGCTGACGACTTACACATTTTCTCCCCCCGACGTCGACATTGGACACTGTCCAACACATCTTCAATTCCTGGATATCGTGCTCTGGATCGATCCGTATGCGTATGTAAGTCCGGCTGTAGGAGTTTCTGGCCGGAACTCCAACTCCATATTATTTTCAGGTCGCCACGGTAGCGAGAACTCCTCAGACGCGATAATTCTCTACGTAAATGCCTAGCATAACGGTTGAAGATGTACGCTCTGGTGTGCACATTGTCGTAACACTGTCGCCGTCATATTTTGCTGGGGAACCGCTTTCAGTGGCGATCACATTCACCAACACACGGACGTCAGAGGCAGGTCCATCGTGACCCAGCTCTCATTCTCACAAACGAGGGGCCCATTCGATTAGCTCTGCACCGCTTTCACGACCACCGACGTCGTCTGGAACGCCACGGAGCGCGGCAACTCCGTCGATGAATTGCCAAGGCCGAAGAACCCTCATCGGGAAACCCAAACCTCCGCCAGCGCTACCACAAAGTTCAGAGGAGGTTCCGAATCTGATAGAGCAGCGGAGGAAGAAGCAGCTGGCACCCAAGTCGTTGTCGGTGTCGATTTCGCCGTTCGAGTTGGAGGATCGGCTGGCAGTGGCCTCAGCTCCACATTCGCAGAGGACGTTTGCAAATTGTGAGTTGCTTTGATTTTTCGTAACTTCGAAGCTTACACTTTTGAAAGTGCCAACAACATTACACACCCCTTCTCCTCTTGCTCGTATTGACGCTCTCAAATTACCCTCCGATCACCCCCATGCACGGAAACATTCCATTCTCGACGGCCAACTTTCACTCGACCCAACAATCTCTGTCCCTCCATATCCCTACAGCCCGTCATCATCCACATCCATATTCTCGACCCCATCGCAGGGCATGTGGAAGTTCTCACACTTTGCAGGCGAGAGGAAAGCAGGGGAAAGCAAACCTCGGGCAGAATTCTATAAGTCCATGACGCTAGCAACTTCCTTGCGTCCTGTTGATGGACAGAAATGCCTGGGAAACGACGTGGGCATGACTCACCCAGGTAGACTTCCAGCTGACTAACCGCTACGCGACTGACTAACGAAGTTACGAAAACATGCCTTTCTTACTGAGCTAGTGACATGAACACACGATGGCAACAAAGAACTTTTCGCTTGTATATAAGAAAACGATAATGAAGATGCTCTCTTTAACCTGCCACCACCACTTAGAGTAGTATCAACACGATGTCCGGACGTCCCATCATCTCCGAGCTCTTGAAAATCACAGTCGACCGCTCTTTCAAACTCTCCAACCCAGAGTTCACTGCCTTGCGCGCCGCAGCTGTACAAGCAGGCGTCAAGGAGCAATACTACGGCATAGCAGCAGGAGAGCCCGACCATCTCTCTTGGGTCATTCAATGGCCCGCAGACCTGTCCACGCACCCTTCCGAGTACGCAGGCCCAGAGGGCGATTTCCGCAAACGTTTAGCTGCCTTGGACGTGCGCAACAGCCCCACGAACTGGTTTATCAAGTTCGAGGATGCCAAACTGCCACGTCCCGCTCTCGAAGCGCCCGTCCCAGATCTGCACCGTCTTCGTCAAGCCGACGAGCGATCTGCAAGCTCTCCTGCCTTCGCTGAAGAAGACCTTCACCGACTGCTATGACGATCCCTACAAGGGGTTCACAGGTGGTCATTGGGGACTCGCAGAGAACGAACCTAGGTTGGCTTGGTACTTCCTCGGTTGGCAGTCTCGAAAGGTTAGTGGTTTTCATGTTGATTCGCTCAACTGTTGGCGCTTTGACTGACAATTCGTTCAAAAAGGCTCATGACCTATACGCCGCAACGCCGCTCTTCGACGTTGAGATCGACAAGCTCACACCACACATGGCTGGAGGCTGGGCACACTACGTCAAGTTCACCGAGGAGACGAGTTGAGTGGCCCAATAGAGCGTAGCAAAAAGCACAACAATTTCTCGTACCAAACCTTGCATTATTATGACCGCAATGGAACTGACGATTATGACTCTGGAATGCTTGAATCTGAGTCTGCAATGGTGTCGTACGGATTCAACTGGAGTCCTGGATTTTCCGAAAATGTGAGGAGGACACACAGCTGATGCGCCCGTCTATCCAGTAGTCAACCATCGCCCGCTGTCACCTCTGAGTGCCCGACTGAAACTTTGAAACGCCCACACACTGGCGCACAGTGTCAGCATAGTAGGCGGAGTCGAGACTTTGAAAAGAAGTGAGTACTCTTTCCGTGTAATTAAGGCGGTGCTATCACAGATGTAATATATTACATACTATGCATAGAGACTATAGGCAACTCTGGCGCCCAGTGGAGGGCGTGGTAAATTAGCGCCAGGCTTGTGGAGCCAGACCGGGAGTCTTCCCGCTGGAAACCTGGTACAATAAAGGCGGAAAATGTTTGGGACAACCATAGTGATGATATAGATACGTCTATTGATTTTATGCCAAACGCCGTTCAGAATAGATTATTCTACGCAGCACCTCATATCAGGGTCGGCATAGAGAAATGCCACATCTTCGTTCCCAATCTCCATTCCTCCTCCTCGATCCATGACGACTTCGTCAGGATAACCATCTCGGTCTCGCTGAATTTTCGCAACTGAGAATGGGAATTCGGGAGTAAAATTCGTCACAGATTCCAATGAGGCAAGGCCGGATTGCTGTGCCAACACTAGCGAGGCATTAGCAAGGATTTTATCCCGTACTTCATCTTCGTAGGCAGCGGCAACCTCAATATACATCCGTTTCAGGTTTTTCAGTCCGGAGAAGTCACTGGACATTCCAATCTAGGACGTAGCTCAATGACATGATGCAGCTAACAAATTGTCGAAAGCACACACCAGATCGGTCAGACTTGGCAGCGAAATGAAGCATAGCTCTTCGATGTTAGGTACCCCGCGCACAATCGAATGTACGTATTCCTTTAGGAAATCCCTCTTACTAGCTTGGCCCTGGCGCTTGATGCTCCCTTCTCGACCGTCATGGAAGGTGCCATCCTGAGCCTCGTACCATAAGGCACCCTCGATATTGACGTTTCTGGTACTCGAGGAAGCAGTCTGGCGAATGTAGAGGCTCTTTAACTTGGGTAATCCACCATCTACAATCGAACGAAGCAAGTATGGGACTTGTGCGTTTATACTGTTGCATACGGCGAGGCTGCGGAGCTGCGGCAAAATCTGCGCAAGCGCCCTAACCTCCCGAAAGTGGGCCTGGTATTATGTTAGAAGAGATAACTGAAAGTAAATGTTTGATTGACCTTGAAATGCCTCAGGTTCGGTAGAAAAACTTGAGGGAGGGGGTCCACGAACCACCGTGTATATTTTTCTCTAGTGAAAATTGCAATGGTCTCGAGAGTCGGGTGTCTCGTCCAAAAGCTCATTGCTTCCTCCTTCTTATGGATTGGGCAGGCGTCTATTGTAAGCGAGCGAAGATAGGAGAATTGTAGAGACAGAAAGTTTGATAGCTGCAAGTCCTCCTGTGGCATGAGGGATAAATTGAGTGTTTGCAAGGATTGAGCCCATGCCCCTAAATGTAGCAGCAAACTTGAGCAAACGTCGTTCGGGAAATCTCTATTGCAAATCCGAAGCGAAAGTGAAGATATTTCCTGTGAGACTCGACATCAGCAACGGCGTTTATTGAACAGGAGAGTGCATCCTACAGCAATTTGATGAATGCCAGACGATCGAAGCCATTTGAATTCTCCGGAGATGGACTCCGTCGCGCCTACTCCATAGATGTCTAATAGGAAGAGCCTACGCAATCGAGGACAGTACTTCTTAACGTTTCTCCAGAAGTCTGGACACTCGTCGGCGTAACCGCTGAGAATGGCGCGCAAACCGATCGTGTGCATGCTAGGAAGCGCTCCGGATATTATACTCTCCTCGAGGATTTTGACAGCATTGAACGAGCCATCGACGAAACGATTATGTGAGAGAGACCTCGACATGATGTGAAGCTCTCTGACCCCGTGGCCAAATTTGAGATCGCTTGATATCTTTTTCACGAAATTTATAAAATGGTGCTCGTCCTCGATGACCAAGCATCTCCACACGAGTGGGAGTGTCGCTGACGAAACATGCCGATTAGTGAGTGAAAGAGATCGTACAGTCGCTGGGGTTGTGTGCAGGGGAATATGAGCGACAATGAGGGGGAAAATCTCCGGAAAGAGGTCTGCGAGTGAAAGGGACATGGTGGGTCTCGAAAAGCCAGGAGACTGGATACCAACTTTGAAATTTGATATATCCGTGGGGTGTTTGTACCCACGAGAAATCAGATCTCAGACGTTACTTCTTATTTAATTCCGACTCGAGGAAGTTCAGGCTTCCAAGTTCCAAGTTCCCAGACGTCAAGAGGACCCACAGTTGATGCGCCAGTGTATCCGATAATCAGCTGTTCACCGCTCACTGTCATGTCAGGCTTAAAGGTGCCAACAGAAGTATGTGACTGCGTTGCCTATCCACAAGGCCGTGTCCTGGGGTACTCGTCCAATACTGCGCCTAGTCATTTTGAGCTTGAGAATTCACTTCAAGTTTCGCTACATACTTAATTGAAATAGTCGAGAGACCCGCTAGGAAACCAGTTTCCGAAACCAGTTTCCGAAACAATTGAGCCATTGCAGAGTCATAGTCGGAGAATGGGATTTTTCGTAACTGTGTGTCCGTTCCATCTATCAGGATACACTGCCAATTGGCTCACGAAATATGGCACTGTATCGATATCATGATGCCGTCAACGAAACTTTGTGGAACCTCTAGAGCTACCTGGATTGGTTTTCCAACACGCGTCAACGAAACTAGTCTCAGTGCTAGACACGCGAAGCAGAGTCGCAGTTCTAGATTTGTTGGTCTCGCGTTGTGCACCGCCACTGGGCGCGGGCGCTTAATTACGGTACCATTGGCAACAGGCGTCGAAACGGCTCGAACCTTGCTGATACACCCTGCAAAATTTAAATTGGGAGGTATATGAGATAGTGATCTACGCTAGTCGACATCAGTTCATTGGACATCGCCAGTTTCCTCGTCTTTCAAATTCTGCCAAGTGGAGATCGTATTTAGCAATGCCATCGTGGTCAACAATATCTAGACAGCTAATATCGCTGAAGTGGTTAAATTGCCAATAAATTGCTCTAAAGCTGTAAGAAAGGACAAAAGTGCATTTAGTCTATGCTACATGTCACGTTGTTTGGGTAGTAAAAAAGGAAGGCCGAGTCCTCGTTTCCAACCTCCATTCCTCCACCAGTACCTAGAACCACATCGCAGGGATTGCCATTCTCATCTCTGATGATCCTTGCCACGGGGTATGGGATGTCATCGTTGAGATTTGTCACGGACTCCAAGCAAGGGATGAAGGACTCTTTCGCGAGGGCGAGTACGTGGGCGATAGTGGCTTCGTTCGGATCATCGCCGTCCTCGAAGTGCATTCCATAGTAGATCCTCTTCAATCGGCGAAGATCAGAAAAAACATCTGATACCTCGACCTAGATCCACCTATTAGCCTGAATATCAACGAGGCGAGGAATATTCACCAAGCCAGAGAGACTCTCCACATACGGGAACCCGAGCTCTTCTATGTTTGGGGTTCCCCGGGCAATTGAAAGCATGTAGTCCCGAAGAATATTTCTGTCTGATTTATCGCTCTTCTTCTTCTTCTTCTTAATTTCGTGGAAAGCACCATCATAGGTCTCATACCACGATGTACCTTCAGCAACCGCGTTCTTATCCCAAGGGCCTCGGACGAAGTAGAGGCTTTTCAGTCCTGGTAGTCCTCCAGGAATGACAGAACGAAGGAGGTACGGAACTTGCGAGTTTATGCCATCGTGTACGGCGAGACTGGTGAGCTGGGGCAAGACTGGAGCAAGCGCTCTCACGTCGACGTAACTGGCCTGAAAAATCGTTGGGAGGAATGAAGACAGCCTCTATAATCTGGCTTACCTTTAGATGCCGTAGATGTGGCAAAAAACCTCGAGGAATGGAGTCCACGAAGCATTTTACTCCGTCTGCACAGCATAGAGTTAAGGACTCCAGGTTCGGATGGCGCGTCCAGAAGTCCATAGCTTCCGAAGGTTGATTCACCGACCAGATATCGAGAGTGAGAGACCTGAGACATGGGAAATTAAGGCAGTAGAAGGCAGATAGTGATACGTCCTCGTGCACAAGGAGCGACAAAGACAATGTCTGTAATGAATGCGTCCACAGTGTCAAAGTTGACAAAAAGCTGGTGCAATGTTGATCTTTAAGGTTCACGTTGGTTACACGGAAAGAAAGGGTCGAAACATCCTGCATAATTTTAAGTTCAGAATTGGCCGACGAAGGCAAGATGAGTCTCACAGGAATTTGGAAAACACCAGAAGACCGAAGCCAATGGAAGTCACGTTCTTTGGGAGTAAGGTATTCAGCACCGTAAACGTCCATCAAGCGAATCCTGCGTAGCCAACGACAGTGTTCGTTGACAATTGCCCAGAAATTTGGATGGTCATCGGGATTGGATTCATATTCACAGCTACGGAGACCTAAAGTATGGAGATTGGGGAGTGCGCCGGCGGCAACAACCTTCTCCAGTTCTTTGATGGTGTCGAATGCGTCGTCCTTTTTGCTGATGCTGCCCATGCAAATCAGGTGTAGTTCCCGGACTCTGATCCCAAACGCGCTGTCCACCGATATCTTGTGAAGGGCTTTCATGATGCTGTCCTCGTCTCGCAGAATCAGGCATTGGTGGACAAGCGGCAGAATGAACTCTGAAAAGTGACGATTGGTAATTGCAAGAGAAAGGAGGGTCTGCGGGGTCGCATGCAGAGGGATATGAGATGCAATGAGGGGATAAAGTTCTGGGAATAGGTTCTCGAATGAGTGCGACATGGCGATTGTCTCGGGAGGGGAGGGACAGGTCAGAGGAGAGCTTTGTATAATGAGACCCACGGAAGATGGTGATCTCGTGTCACCCCTCGGGCGTTTCATCGATATCGGATGTGAGGTAAGATGGGCGGCTTGTACGTGCACTAGAAGAATCGACTAGAACCCACAAAAGATCGTAATCAGCCTCGCCGATAAGTGTTTCATCGATATCAAATATGTCAATCACGTCAAAGGACCCACAAAAACAAACATCTGGCGGCGCCTCCGCCGCCACACAAAGCCGATGCTTGCATTCTGTGTGCACTCTTTGCAACGCACCTGACCATTAATTGCCCACGATATGGGCTGGGGTAAAAGTATAAAAGATTGGCTCAAATGGCGTGGTCTCCCCAGCTGGACTCTCCCCCTTAACTATTCTTCCTTGTAACCCACCTCTACAGCGCCGGACGCTCAACTTTCCTGATCAATTCACACGATTACATCACAGAACCGCGCCATGAAGTTCGCTCTTAATTTCTACGCCCTCGCACTCTGCTGTTCTGTCACAGTGCGCGCCGTCCCGTTAGCACATAACGTCGATCAGGTGGAACAGCGGGCTGCGCTTGAGCCACGCACGGTGAGCCCTCGGTTCATTCACGAGTCTGTCGTCAGTAATACAAAGCTGAGCTCGTTGCTCGCCTTTTAGGGTCCCTTCCATCACCTTTCTTCTGTCGAGAAAAATCATGCGAAGGCAGCAATCGACCGCTATCTCGCGACGGATCAGATCAGAAGGGTCGCCGTCCCAGGAAGTGGCCCCTTATCCCGCCCTGCTGTTGGCAAATTTCACTTGGACCGTCAACAACCAGTCAATAAAAACGGGATATACAAGGTTGCCCTTCAGCTCACCGAGAAGAGGAAAGGCAATCCAACTACTGTCGGCATGGTTTCCATCCACAAAGACCACCATGTGTCAGACGCTAAGGTGAATTTCAAAGTGCCAATTTATCGTATGTATTAACGTTTATTCTCACTCAGGTCGTAAAGGCTTTGAAGGAATCTATTGACAAGGGAAAACAGATTGCCATCAGGAAGCGAAAGCCTAACCAGAGAAATATCGCCAACAATCATGTTCGACACAGACAAAAGCAGCAAAGAATTATGCAACATAGTAGAACACGTCAGATGATGGTTAAAGCGACAGGAGAGTACCGGAAGGGTAGGAAAGATTTTATAGTAACCCCTCCTATCTGATCTATTACTATTCAATCATGCCCACACTGAATACAAATCGGATTGTTGACGTCGAACGATAGCCTGAAGTTCACTTCAGCGCGAGCGTTGGCACTCATACCACGCATTGCCATCAAATGAGGACTTAATATTCCGAAGCGCTCTGGTGCCTTGTGCTGAGAGAGAGATTTAGCGCCAGCATCGGATAAACCGGCCCGGGACAACCAATTCGGGCTCCCGTTCACATACTGGGGAACATCAGCTACATGCAGAGATGTGATATAAAGCAAAATGAAGACCGGCTGCCGGTAGGACCGCTTTGTGTACGAGCAAACCTGCTACTCCCAAGAGAATGATTTCACGCCGGAATTCTTGAACCAGACTCGTTCATCATCCGTCAATTTTGTGGGGTGCTGCGCGATATGGAGGCGGCTCATTCTCCTTGGCGAGCTATCGGCATACGCCTTGGAGTCGGGATTAAGCTTTATATCATCGGCACTGGTGCATTCTCGGCCGTCTTCTGCGTCACTTTCCCCATCACTGGCTGCATCGTCTGGGGATGCAATGTCGCGTCGAGCGGAGATCATTTTCTTGACGCCTTCAACAGTAATGTTGGGACAGTTGGTAAGGTAGAGCCAGCGCAGGTTCTTGCACTTCTGAGCAATGATTTGGAGATGTTCGTCAGTCAATGCTTTGCAATTGACGATGTCCAGGCGGCGTCCAGGAAAGTGTTCGAAGACCTTCTTCAAGCTCGCTCCTGGTGAATCGGAGGCGTTCTCGATACGAAGATGATGCGCCATGGGGAGTGGGTCGCAATACAGATCAGTGTTCACAATGTGGTACGAGCACCACTTGTGTCCGGCGATGATGAAGTTGAGCTCGTCTGCGACACCTCCATCTAGATTGCGCAAGGTCAGATTATCTGCCTCCGGCTCTGCACCGCCCTCACCGACTTGGCCGGGGTCATATTCTGGTAATATTTCCTGAAGAGTGAGGTGTCTGATGAAGCCTATGTCCCGAATGCGGCTCATGAGCATGTAGAGATTGAACGAGTAGGCATGGTAAGGGGCGCCGTAATCGTTCTCGCGGGATGGGGTCGTGAATTTGGCGATGCAGAGGGAGTCGATGCTCATCCCGGCGAGTTGTCTCCTCCAGGCCGCCACAGCGCACGCGTCAAGAAACGTACATCCATGCATGACAATTGTCGCAAGGTTTGGAAACGTGAATGCCTTCTCTGCGGGCTGGAGCATAACGGCCATCTCATCTGGAAGTCGGTAGTTCCATTCGTCGTCCTCTTTGCACTGGAGCTTGAGCATCCGGAGTTGCTCGGCGGGGCCATGGAAATCTTGTGAGATGTAGGGTAGAGACGACGCAAATTTCGTGTTGAAGACGAACGACCTAATTCGTGGGAGGAGGGGAGAAAGCCAATCCATGACGGCTCGCATACGCGACCTTTCGAAATCTCCTTGCTCTTCGTCTTCTTCGTCGTCCGCCTCAAAATTGTTCCTGGTAACTAAGACATCGAGAGGAAGGTTGTTCGTGCCAGAAACTTGAGCATTTAGACGTTTGAGGCCAAGAGAGCGCTGGTCAAGGCAGACGAGGAGGCGCGTCTTATATTCTGGCATGGTCTTCAAAATTTCCCTCCATAAACGGCATACAGAAGCTGCGATTTGGAGGTGAAAGGAGAACGTGGCGACGTGCGGCTTGCGTAATTCAGACGCTGGATCGGTACCGCAGTCTTTCTTGCGATAGAAAACATCAGGAGAGGTATTGGAGTCTTCTGAGAGAATCATGGACGACGCATATAAGTGCTTGAAAATTATGGTTAAGATTTCCACGGGTATCTTGTCGTTGACTGTGGAAGCAAGCAGAGCCGCTGTTCGATTAACGGAGCCAGGTCTTCTATTCATGTTGAGTCTGTGACAGATCATAAGATATAAGCATAAAAACCAGAAAACAGTGGAGAAAGCATACTGTCGGTCTCCACGTTCGCTTTCGAGATGGTGGTTGTCGGGCAACCTGCGCGAGGTCTCTGCATGTTCAGGGTTGCATGTCGAGGCCCCTATCCGGCAGACGCCGGTCGATGAGGGATGGAGGAACTCGAGCTCAAGCCCAGGCCCGACCCACAAATCCTACAACCTGAAAAAGACATTGGCGAAAATGGCGGACACGACTACTATATAGAAACAATAAAAATACAATGAAATAAGACAATGAAAAAGGCATAAACCGTCCATCCAATCCGAATCGACAAAAAGAAACCCAAACTACACATCAAAAACGACATCGAGAGCCTTGAACGCCGTGTTCCCAGGGAAGACCTTCACAGGCACTTCACATTCCACGGTCTCGAGGCGTACATCCCTCCAGCCCTCGTCTCCATTCGCATAATCCACGCCAACACCCACACCACCTGCGAGGTCGGGTATAATCCCATCATACACGACCTCCTCGTCCTCAAGGACGTCTCCGTCATGGTACTCGCGTTCTGTGTTCTCGTTCGCACCTCCATACAGAATCGACGAGACGAGGAAGGAGGACCAGCTCCGCGGGGAGGAGGCCTGCTGAAGTCGCTGAGCCGCTGCAGCTTCCGCTTTGAGGTCAGGTTTCTCCTGCGGGGCATTCGTACGTGTGGCGCGCCACGAGGAGCCCCATTCGCCCCTTGAGCCATCCCGGACGAGGCCTTTGAGCCGCACACCTTGGACGCCGACGTGGGACATCTCGGCGGCGATGGCCACGAGAAGGCATAGGCGCACTGTCCATTCAAGCCCTCCAGGTGTTGGAGGTGGTGTTGCGGAGGCGGCTGGTGGTGTGCCAATGCGGACTTGGAAAGCGGGGCTGGCGTCGGAGGGGATGTCGAGTGAGAAGGTGGTACGCAGCGTGTGGAGAGTGAAAGACGAATGACTCTCTGCGTGCGACCGTCGTAAATGTCGTGCACCGGCTAAGGGAGATATCGATGACGGAAGGGTCTCATGGGACTCTAGGATTGCAGAGACCTGAAGATCATGGTAAGATGGTGCGTTAGGGTACCGAAAGGAAGGACCGACCTTCAGAACACGGGCTCTACTACTCCGTTCATTCAACTCCACGATTCCAGTAATCGTCTCCCCAAGTCGATATGCAGACTTCGTAAAGGTAAGCACAGCAACCTTCACTCCATCCTTATTCACATCATACGAAGCTAGATGTCCAAAACATTAGCCAACCGCACAGGGAAACGAACGAATTAAAAGCACCCTTCTTTGGATTTCTCGTCAAGATTTCCACAGCCTCGCGACACCCCGTCAGACCACCTTCAGCCTCTTTCTCGCGCTCGCTCTCCGTCCGGCGCATTTCCTCTGGTCGTAGGATGCTTCTCCGTTTGGCGTTGCCGTTCCCGTTCGTGTTGCCATTGTTTTGTCCAATAGCTTTGGCTCCGTCGTTTGCGAGAGGCGAACTGGGTGATTCAGGATCTGGCTTGGACTGCTCTCCCCTTGCATCAGGTAACGACGCAAGTAGTGATCGAGCATAGTCCCGTATTGACTCGAGTGTGTTGGACGAGGATATTGATGAAGGTGACGAAGCTGAAAGAAATATGAGCAAACAGCCGAGTTTTCGAAAGCAGAACAACGTACAGGAGGGCATTCGAGGAATCTGGAGCAACCCCTTCTGCATCTCAGGCATCGACTCAACCACCTTCGCCTCTGTGCCTGGCATACCGACATCTTGCCGCTTGCTGACTGGCCAGAGAATATCGTACGGTCGTAACGATCGACTAAATGCATCAAATGATTAGTCTCAACAAAGGAGGCAGAAAAGAAACGACCGCGCCGGAAACATGATTGTACACTCGTATTGGCACCTTCATCACTCGACTGATGCTGTTGGCACCCATGCCTCCGCCGCTGCCCGGCGGACCCGCCCGACATGTACCCACAACCAGCTCGTAAGAAAACTTGAGGGCCTTTCCTTTGAACGTCGGGGGTAGGTTATCTGGAAGCCTGATGGTGTAGGTGTCTATTCGGACAGTCAGAACAACAAAATCTTACTACGAACAAAAAAAAACTGACAAGTTCGCGACTCGCCAGGTCCAAGGGACAGATCGACGCCTAACATCGCAGGCTGAACTTCAAATGTAGGCAAGGGGTCCTCCGGGTTGACCTCATCCGCTGACACATTCCTATATCCAAGACTCAGCACGCTCGGACTAGTCGAGCTATTCGGAAATTTGGCAGACAAAGGTGTGGCGTTAGGTGTATAGGCAGACGTTGCTCGCCATCTTGACGGACTGCCTCGCGAAAGCGGAGAATTCGGGGACGGGCTCGAGATCGACGACACCAACGATGTTGGCGACAGTATCGACAACAATCCTGCAGAAAACGACGACGACCGACTATGGGTCGGCCTATGACGAGGTCTGGGCGAAACCGGCGCGTTTAATGACGCCGTAATATCCATACTCCCACCCCCAAGAACCTTCCGGCTTAACAACGCTGCCCGGACACCATTCAGCGTCTGTGCCTGCTCCGATGTGGTTAGGGCACCCGGCACCGGGGTGAGCAGCACCGTCCCGATCAGTTGTGCGTAGGAATAGAGTATGAGCTCGTCGTTAGCCGGTGGGAAGGTCGACGCGAACGCTGCGCGGGGAGCGTGTGGGTATCCACGGGCGAGTTGGATGGCTGTCCCAGGCCGATGGGTGCCGGTCGGTGGTGGGTGTATCCATGTCCATGTGGCCGGGGCGGTGGATATGCGTAGACGAAGTTGCTCGACTCGGAGGGGCCGGTGGGAGTGTGAGGTGGAAATGGGGCTGGCTCGATGGTCGGAGAGCCGATGGCTGGGGTTGAGGGGTAGGGCGAAAGGGCTGCTTCTGCGATGGGATCGAGAGCTAACGAGAATGACGATGTGGATGATGACGGGCTATAGGGAAATGGAGGAACAGAGGTTGTCGGAGAGATGATGTCCAGCGAAAGTTGGCCATCGAGAACAGAGTGTTTCCGTGCATGGGGGTGGGTTGAGGCCAATTCGAGAGCGTCGGTACGAGCAAGAGGAGAAGGTGTATGTGGTGTTGTTGGCACTTTCCAAGGCGTAAGCTTCAAAATTACGAAAAATCAATTCAACTCACAATTTGCAAACGTCCTCTGCGAATGTGGAGCTGAGGCCACTGCCAGCCGATCCTCCAACTCGAACGGCGAAATCGACAGCGACAACAACTTGGGTTCCAGCTGCTTCTTCCTCCGCTGCTCTATCAGATTCGGAATCTCCTCTGAACTTTGTGGTAGCACTGGCGGAGGTTTGGGTTTCCCGATGAGGTTCTTCCACCGTGGCAATTCATCGACGGGCTTTCCTAGTGTTGCCACGGTCCGATTTGGTCCGGTCCAGTCCGGTCCCTGTGCGGTTTCATGATGTCATCGGTTTCCAGACCGAATCGGACCCTTTGGGACCGTCCGTTAATCGGTTTGCTCCATATATGGAATATTAAAATGCCCTCTTCACACTTTCGTCAATCTGAGATGGAAAAAATAAAATAAAAAGGATCAATAATTACTTTTTAAGGTCATTAATAAGCTTCTGGAGCAACTTTTGGTCAATTTATACGCTGCTCTGTCTAAAGGAACTTTTGCGTGACTTTGTGACGGTGAAATGTGACAAAAATATGTCCCATTAGCTCTATGCAGTCCACAGGTCCCAGATGCAGCCATATAGTTATTGGGTGCATCTACACAGCTTAATTTCATTCTATCTGTCCTAGAATCCCCTCAGACATGACAACATCTCCAGGAAATTTTTAAAAATGACGTGCTTCCTCTTTTGGTAAAACCCTTTTGATCCTGGACCAAACCCACATTTCGGTCTCACGGTCCTTACGGTTCGGTCTCATCGGTTCCATTTGCGGTTTGGTTCCAATGGTCCGCGGTCTTCGGACCGGACCGTGGCAACACTAGGCTTTCCTCGTGGTATCGACGGAGTTGCTGCGCTCCGGGGAGTTCCAGGCGACATTGGTGGTCGCGCAAGAGGAGCAGAGCTAATCGAATGGGCCCCTCGTTTGTGAGAATGAGAGCTGGGTCGCAATGGACCTGCCTCTGGCATCACAAAAAATGTCTGCCGCTTACGGTGCGTGTAGGGTGTGACACGCCTTGTGACAGGTTATACGGCCTGGACCATGCTTATAGGAGCTTATACCACGACAAGAAGACTTCCACGAACATGGGCGAATTATAAGCCCCTTATACGAGGGCACGAGACATTCGTTCAACGTATACAAGTATGAAAAGCATTGTAGTAACCTGTACACTTTAAAAGACCCTTTCGAGGAGCTATGTACTAAGGACCTCGACGCGGCCCCGCCGCCCTGGTCATCTCATACAACTTGTGGCCACCAAGTCCATCGGGAATATGCATACACAGTAAGGGCATCTGGATGGGAATTTCAAGTATCTTTCGCACTTCTACCAAAGCTATTATACAGAGGTAGAATAGCATCAGCTCCCAACGAAAGACGACGCCTAATTCAACGTAATCGACGCCTTTTCGGACATCGTGCTAATGCACAAATAGATAGAGGTTAGTAAGCTGGCAGGACCAGAGGCAAATTTGGGCCTCTTGCCGCATGGACGACTCGGCATGCACACTGTGGCCCATTCCTTTGCAGAATCCCTCCCTCCCTCCGCTCGGACACATTGTCGCCCACCATCTACAACCCACAACGCGCTGTCCGAAATTCAGCACCTCGCAGTCGTAGCAGATGCGTAAACTCTCACTCAGATAGTGACTACTCAACGCTCCCGATTCCTCGACCTGCATATTAGCGTTGCGTTGGTGTTATCCGCTTATTCTCCAAGGCCGCCTATGACTCGGACAGTAAGTCTTGATCCGCCCATGGCCCTATGAGATAAATAACGACATACCTGTACCAGATTTCCCCCACCTCACCCATTCACAAGAGGCTATCATCTCGCGAGCATCCACCCACGTCCCACACATTTGATACATCACCACACCGCCGTCCGACCTTGACAACAACCTTGCTGTAGCATGTCACTAAGTCACTTATTCAGCTCAGCGAGCCCTCACCAACTTCTTTGAGATGAAGAGCGACTTACCGTATCTCTTTATTATCTAGCACAGCGAGGGTGCCATCCTTTGGATTAGTACCAAGCCCATAGCCTCTTCGTCGACATGACCTACTCAATGCAAATGCCACAGGAATCTCAATTCGGGTGAGTCACAAATGAATATGATCCCTTACCCTGGCTCTCCGCGTTGAGCTCTAAGATGCCAACAGCGGCAGCTCTCATCACCCTCCAAAGGTAAGTACGCTTTGCATGATGCAGATCTTTTTAAAGCAGAGCATCCAGATGGGGGCATATTGTTGAAGACAACGACCATGGCTGCTCCTGCTCAATGCACACCACCCATGCCTGTCATAGGATGTACAGGCGGCCGTAGAACTAGAAAATTGTTTCAGCCAGAAATCAAAACGACCATTGGGAGGGCATACGGTAAAGAACTGGGGAGAAATAGCGCCCATGTACTCGTATGTGCGACTGTTCGTCAAACTCTGGAGGTGGATATCGTCTGAATCGAGCTTTGCATTCTTTATCTCTAAATCTGACATCCTGGCGGCCCATGGTGAGTTATTCTGCCTCTTCTAATTCTGACCCGTGAAAAGTGTCAATAACGTTGGAGGGAGGGCAAGTCCAAGGTGCAATGTGGAAGGAGATGGCTTTGAAGGGTGCGACGCTACGTGGCTGCTCGATAAGGCAGATGCTATCGAAGTTTGTGAGAAGACGGACGATTTCCTGGTGGGTAAAAGGCTGAGGCACAAATATGAAAGCTCACACAAAGCAGCTTTCTTGAATGCCAGAGACACAACCCTTATGATGCAAGACCATTTTTTCTTCATGCAATGCCGTCATAGGGTGATTTACTGGACATCTTCGAAGAGTGCCATGGTGGCGGGTACACCTATTGTTGATCACAGTCAAACGTCATGCGGAGTGAGCAAGAAAGATTCTGAATGGAGGGCACATTGACTAGTCCAAATAATCTCATCTCTACTCTTGAAGGGGCTGGAACTGTTGAGAAGGGCTAAGCGCTGAGGCTCGTCTACCTTTGACTCGATGCTCAGTGGCAGGCTGTATGCTTATCAGTGTTCGGGGATGCTGAAAGATAGATTAATTATGCCCTACCATCGTGGGTGATATGGATATCTCATAGGTAGAGTTGCGAGTATATAGGTAGTGGTTGAACGAGAGTGAGTCAAGAGTCAGACTACAACGAAGAAGTTGGACTTTGAAGAATTTTGTAAATTTGTTGGCACTTGCTATCATGTGACTCAACGGGATCTCGGCGAAAGCCGATAATCATATAAGAAGTAGTATCACCTTTCGCCTTGCTTCCCTTTGTCCTCTCTCTTCCTCCTACCACTGTGTTCCCAAACCCATAACCGATAGAGTCGTGGTGTCTATGATTCTATGGATGTGAGTGGTTCTTTAAGATTCTGGGTACTACATACTGCTGACAGAGTCTCTGTATGCCAGGTGCTCAGCCGCGCCGCAACCGTCTCCGATGCTGGAGGAAGTGTGTGATGAGCCAACAGATGACACCGCTTGGACGTCGCGAGCCAGAAAGTGGTAGGAACCATCTCTCTCACTGGGATGAGAATGTTTCTTAACATTGGCTCCTGATAAATGCCCTGGACGGCCTTGCGCCTCGAGGGGATCCTTCACCCAGCTGGGAGAACAAGGTTCGTGAATCGTCGGTTCATGCGCCTGCTCGAATCCAGCTAACAGCAACCCCTGATAGTAGCCTCTCATATATGCGTGGTATTTAGTATAAAGGTGCACATATATCCATCCCTACTTGCCTTGCACAAATTGACTAATTGTCCCTTGGTTAGGAAACGGCGACGCTGTGACGGTATTGTCCGCATCTTCTGTCATTGCTCAAGAATTCGCAGCAGACGTTTAGTAGCATGCCACAGCTTCTGTACGTATCCTGCCTACGCATGTCTCTTCTCATTTTGTTCTTGTCATCATGCCTTGTTTTCCGTGTACTGTCCAGTAGCGTAGTCAATATATGGTCTTTTGAACTTTTGAAATCTCTCTTCAGCATGAACTGCAAGGCAAATGAATGGACAATCATGAATAACCGTGAATAGGTGCTTGGAAGCTTGTGCAATCCTTTGGAGGCTTATAAGGACCATAATCTATTATAATCGTTGGGAATTCCTATGAGCCTCTCAGGCTTATAAGATCCTGGTTCCTACAAGCCCGAAAGCCTTGCACGACCAATAAGACTTATAGCGACTTATAGGACACGCCCAACGTGTATATGAAGGGTGCGAGGCTTCCGATGCTTATAATAGCTTATGATGGCCTATGATGGCTTTTGACAGCTTATGATCGGTGCGCATTTTTTGTGATGGGCGTCCGTGTGTTGGTAAATGTGATCGTCACTGAAAACGGTTCGCCAGCAAAATACGACGATTGCGACGGCGTTACGACAACACGTACACCAGAGTCGACATCTCCAACCGCTATGCTGGGCATTGAGATGGCAAAGGGCAGGGAACTGTCGCTCCAGGTCGGGTTTCTCACAACTGTGGTGACCTGGTCTCCACGTAAGTCGTAGCAAGTAACACTTGTATAAGGACCTACTCTTCAGATAGATTTAGAGCATTTGAATATGGGTGTTGTAGCGTCGAAGGAAGTGGTCAATGTGGAAGGAGAAGGCGTATCATCATTTGTTTGGTGCAATAACAAAACATTCTTACACTACAACCACATCCTTCAAAACGCGGTCCCAAAGACCTACAATGGTCAGCTCTGGATGCAAGACAAACAAAGGTATGTCTTTTATGAACTGGCGTGTCTTTTTGTTCATGGAACACTCCTAGATGATGTTGGTCTGGCACTTGGTCAATCCAGCCTAGATGTACAAACTTAATGAACTTAGCAACAATGTTCTTTGGGCAATATTCACGCTCAACGCTGACATGACGGACGATATTGGGGAAGACACCAAGATACCCTTGTCCAAGTGGCGTCCAGCATAGTAAGCTACAGTGTATATGTGTTACACGGTGTAGCAGACACATACACTGTAGCTGTCTGAGACAGGGCCGCTGGACACTAGCGGACCTGCCTTAAATGGCAGGCATACAGTGTAGTGTCTGAGATGGTGCTAGCAGGTCCGCTAGCACCCCAGCAGCATGCTGCAGCGCCGCTGCTCACTCTGTAGCACCGTGGAATTTGTGCTGGGCCTCAGTGAGCAGCGGATTGCACTGGCATGCAGCGCCACCTCGGCAGAGGCCTAGAATGAGTGGTGAAAGTAGATACATAGTTAATATGCTTATATATCATGTACTATAGCTATTAAAACAAAACCAAATGTGTTTGGTGAGCTGCAGATGCATATGAAGCACTAGTGCCATTGCTGCAGTGCTTTCCCATGCCCCAGAGTGGCAAAACATGGCAGCGAAATGAGCCATACAATAAATATATTGACATCCGCATACTGAGTAAATGAATAACAAATAGTATGTTGGCCATGCATTTTATGCACTGCGGTGGTGCAGGGGCATGTTCTGCCTTCCCTGAGGCGCTTTCCCATGCCCCAGAGCAGCGAAGCGTGGTGGTGAATGGCGGCAACAAGTGGCATTCAATGCCTAGAAGCTTGGATTCATTCCTCTTGTTCACTGCCTCTGTGCATGTTGCAAGTTCCATATGGATTTTGTGAGGCTGACAAATCATTTCATTGTCATGTATTGGTGTTGCCGCAGTGCTTTTTGGTCACCTAACATGGCAAAAAGTGGCAGATAAGAGTTTTTGTGTTCACCATGGAATTAAATGCATGGCAACCACCTTATATTAAAGGTAAGTAATGGGCATGTTTAGGCCCATTTAAGTCAGTCAAAAATCATGGAATACATTTATGAGAGTAATAGTACCATTGATAATGCCAGGGGGTGTCTGGGTGTGGTATATCTGAGGAGGGGTATGGGTACACCAGGAGACCCACTCCAGAAACTGCACTAAATGTACCTCTGAAAGTCTGAAAGTTGGTACATGGATAGTATATATTTATTCATGAATTTAACATATTTTAACATATTTTTATATTGCCTGGAAGTTGAGTTATTGACCCATTTCCCATGAGCTAAGATATTCTATTGACATTCAGGATGGGAGATATTGGCACATGTAAGGCTATGATAAATGACAATAAATGTATAGAAACAGAATGAGGTACTTGTGAGGGCAAGGGGATGATTCTATGTAAAGTTTTAAAGGGGAGAAGGAGAAGGTAGTCCCCCACATCAGTATCTATGTAAATACTGACCAAATCTGCATATCGCACCCATTCAATGGTGCGTTCGGGTCAGAGTAATGTCTATTAGCATATTTTAGTAGTGACAGATGAGGCTCGGATGCCTGGGGGAAATGGTATTAAAGAAAGAGCTGAAAATGCGCAAAAAGCATGAAAATAATTAAAATGAGTATCTCGGACTTGTTCAAAAATTACCAAACTTCGTATATGAGGAGCTATTAGCACTCTGAAGAGATTACAAAAGACCAGATGAGATTCCAAGCAGTAGGTGGAAAGTTATGCTAAATGAACTCCCAAAGCACCAGATGCAACACAAAGCTCTAACAGGATGTTGATGCCATTGCTGTCATTGTGCTACCCAACAGGATGTTGATGCCATTGCTGTCATTGTGCTACCCTCAGGATGTTGATGCCATTGCTGTCATTGTGCTACCCTTTCTCATAACTTTCCACCTACTGCTTGGAATCTCATCTGGTCTTTTGTAATCTCTTCAGAGTGCTAATAGCTCCTCATATACGAAGTTTGGTAATTTTTGAACAAGTCCGAGATACTCATTTTAATTATTTTCATGCTTTTTGCGCATTTTCAGCTCTTTCTTTAATACCATTTCCCCCAGGCATCCGAGCCTCATCTGTCACTACTAAAATATGCTAATAGACATTACTCTGACCCGAACGCACCATTGAATGGGTGCGATATGCAGATTTGGTCAGTATTTACATAGATACTGATGTGGGGGACTACCTTCTCCTTCTCCCCTTTAAAACTTTACATAGAATCATCCCCTTGCCCTCACAAGTACCTCATTCTGTTTCTATACATTTATTGTCATTTATCATAGCCTTACATGTGCCAATATCTCCCATCCTGAATGTCAATAGAATATCTTAGCTCATGGGAAATGGGTCAATAACTCAACTTCCAGGCAATATAAAAATATGTTAAAATATGTTAAATTCATGAATAAATATATACTATCCATGTACCAACTTTCAGACTTTCAGAGGTACATTTAGTGCAGTTTCTGGAGTGGGTCTCCTGGTGTACCCATACCCCTCCTCAGATATACCACACCCAGACACCCCCTGGCATTATCAATGGTACTATTACTCTCATAAATGTATTCCATGATTTTTGACTGACTTAAATGGGCCTAAACATGCCCATTACTTACCTTTAATATAAGGTGGTTGCCATGCATTTAATTCCATGGTGAACACAAAAACTCTTATCTGCCACTTTTTGCCATGTTAGGTGACCAAAAAGCACTGCGGCAACACCAATACATGACAATGAAATGATTTGTCAGCCTCACAAAATCCATATGGAACTTGCAACATGCACAGAGGCAGTGAACAAGAGGAATGAATCCAAGCTTCTAGGCATTGAATGCCACTTGTTGCCGCCATTCACCGCCACGCTTCGCTGCTCTGGGGCATGGGAAAGCGCCTCAGGGAAGGCAGAACATGCCCCTGCACCCACCTGAATTGACCATAGTAATGCATAATACACTGTAATTGTAAGACTTGTGTGATGTAAGATATATTGTACTTACAATGGGCTAGAGACCCCTACTCTGAGCTTTGGGCATGATGCATCACAGGCTCCCTTCCCCTCTAGCAGGTGCACAATTCATGCATTATAATGGCCTGGCTTATGCATCATGCGCCAGACCCCCCTCTGCAGCCCCTTTGCCCTGAGCCCAGGCACCTTCCGGTAGCTCCTGACCGCCAGCGAGCGCGCTTGATGTGCCCCCAGACAAGTTCTTCCGTATATTATTATTAACTGAATGGGGCCGGCTTGGTTCATCTCCATACAGAGTGCATGTCTGGTCGGTGTGCCTAGATTCTCGTGTACCCTCCCCTCATTCATGCCCTCTCGATAGTAAACATTCAGATTCTACGCCCACAGCTGCTGAGCTCATTGTTCTATACCATTCAATGACATATAGAGGGAGTGCTGCTGACATATGAGCTCAGACAACAGGCTCATGCACTGCGCCGGGTGATGCACCAGGTAGGCGCGCTGGTAATGCATTAGTATGAGTGATGCATAGATGGCTCTATGCACAGCACTTATGCATTACTCTGTGCTATGCATATGGGCTGATGCATTACTAC